TCTTTTCTGGTTCCCTTACTTATCGTGAATGACTGATGGATGTTGACCTGGCAAGAGAAATTTCCTAGGCACTAGGCTTTTAGCACTGACTGGATTGTAGAATGCAGAATGCAAGTGTACGCAGGCCGCACAGAGGGGAAGCGGGAGTGGCAAATGCCTGAGACAGACGGAGGCCACAGAGGAGGAGTGAGAAGGAGGAACGGCCAGGAGGCTGGAGAAGCAGGGCAGTCCGTGTCAGCGTGCATGACAGTGGAATTGTAGATGCCATTAGAAGCCCAAGGTGAGGAGTGTCTGCAGCAGCTGGAGGGAAATGAAACCACACCTCCAGGGCAGTGGGACCTGAGTGGAGCTGAGCATTTCACCTGCTTCCTCTTGCTTGCCTGAGGCTGAGGTCAGGATAGGATGCAGCTCACCGTCCCTCTGCTGTGCATCCATCGGGAGCCTGGCAGCTCCAGGGCCCAGTGTGTGCCGTTAGTGTTGGGCCCAGCCCTGGACTCTCCTTGGTGAAATTCCTCTTCGGACTTGGCAATACCCTTGAAGAGGTTCTGCCTCCTCAGTAATTGGCTAGCTTGCTTTTTGTCTTTTAGAAAAAAACCAAAATAAAAATTCCCAAGGAACTGGAAGTTCCAGAATCGTCAGAATTGCTGTTGCTGTAACCCAATGAACCCGTTCCTGAGTTATTTGCACTCATGGGCCGGCCTTCCTAACGCACAGCTGGGCCACTGTCCCTGTGGGCTTTCCACACCCTCTGCTCACCCACAAGGTCCCGGGTGGGCTGCAGTGGGGGCTCCACCCTCACAGCCAGGGCAGCTCTCCAGGAATCGCAGGTTCCTGCTTCCTGGGTGTGTCTGTTTGCAGCCATTCCTAGCACCCCATTCTACCTTAAAACTGCTATGATTTTGGCAAAGCCCCTTGACCACTGCAGGCCTCACTCTCTTCATCGATAAATGAGAGCTCTGTACCACAGTTTTAAAGAAAAAACTTTAAAGCACAGGAGACTTTCACACCTGCGTGAATGTTGTGAGTAGCAGTGGTGCTGTTGCAGGAAGGTCTAGTGCAGAGCTCAGTTCCCTCATCTTTTGTGCTCTCAAATCCTCTTCTGTCCCCCTGTAATGATGCTCCGTGCAATCCCATGGATCCAAAGAGTAGCGTTCAATGAGCAAGTCCAGGCCCTTCCAAGTACAGCTTGGGCTCAGGGACTGGGATTCGGAGCGGCGCGGGGACAGCCTCTGGCTCCCCTTGCTCCTGGCCTTCCCAGCAGCCAGGTCCCTGGGCTCGAGAGGGCTCTGTGCGTGGGTCGTCTACCTTCACCATGTCAGGAGGCGGGACGTGGCCCCGCTGAGGGCTTCTCCCAGAAGCTCCTGGGTCCGTGCTCGTCAGCTCCACCTGCCAGCAGCTGAGGTGAGCCAGCCACCCTTCTGAGAGCACAGTCTTTCATCAGTCAGGAAGGTTCCAGGCTTTTCTTTTTTTTTCTTTCCTTCCAAATAACACTCCCACTGTTCGGCTTAACTACTAAAACCTACGGCTCACAGAACCAGTCTGTCATCAGGAAGACGTGGAGACAATGGCTCCTGTTGCTCAAATCAGGAGAAGAACAGCTCTGAGCTCTGGTCTCCTACAGACAGTGAAGAAGATAAAGGCTGAAGTTTCTGAAACTTACTTGATTTGCTTAAATTGGATAAAACCACATATAGGCACTTAAGTTCCTAGTGGACAGGCGACCAACTCAGGAAAGCCTCGCTGAAGGAAAAGGTTGGCTGGATCAGTGAAGTGTGAAATGCAGTCTTTCGAAGGTGTGGAGAATGCTCCGGGTTTGGGCTCTTGGATGGTGGCTACCGTCCGCCTCCCTGGACAGCGAGGGGCCAGGAAGCTCCCAGGTGCCCTCCCACCAGCACCTTCGGTCCATTAAGGAACTTGGTCCTTGTTGCTGACCAGTGAGGTGGCTTTTGTTTCCCTTTTTTACAGATGAGAAAATGAAAGTCACAGATAACCTGTTCATGGTCATAGAATTCTTAAGTGGCAGGAACCGGTATTTTAACTTAGTCGTGTGTTTCCACCACATGTCCTCTTGCCTCCTTAATGGCATATATGAGCTTGCTTTTTACAGTGAGGTTGGACAAAGAGAGGTGCCTAGACTGACTGTAAATATGTGAGGTGTGATCACAAAACACGGTTGATGATCAAATTATAGATAAAAGATTAATTGAAGTAAAAGACCTATTACCATGGATCCCCTCAGAATCTTCCCCCTTACATCAGACACACTTATTCTGCCGTCCTCTCCACTTTCTGAAGCAGCTCTGGAGTCCTGTTTCCTGAGGGTCTTCAGTTGTGCTAGTGTATCTGCCTTGATGTCCCAAATTGATTCAAAACATTCACGGCAATTTCTGGCAAATGAAGGCATCACACTGTGTCCTCATCCACCTTATTCACCGAATCTGGCACCGCGTGACTTCCAGCTTTTCCCAAAGTCAAATGAACATGAAAGGGAAACGTTTGGGATCGAGCTGCCATGGGAAGTGGCCAGGACTGGGATGAGTGTGTTGGAAGTGAGGGGGAGTATTCTGAAAGGGATGAACGGCACTGTGCCTTTTCTGTAATAAGAATTTAGACATCCATCGCATTTGGGCTCACACCCCACACTTGGAAATGTCTTCTTCCAGCTCTCTGGGAGGAATGGGAGGAGAGAGAATCCATCTGGGATCCTTGCAGGTCGAGGCAGGTGGCCTTGGCTCTGACATCACTCAAGTTGAGATGCTCACTTAACTTAGGCCTTCGAGAGAAAAATCAGTAAGCATCACTCCTCCAGGGAGAATGATGAATAAGAAACTTTTCACACAAAAGAACCAGCCTTTCTTTAAAAATACGTGGCCTCAGCACATCATGCTTTTCAGTGAGGTTACTATTCATATTTTACAATATTTCAGGTTTTGTTATCGTTTAGTCTGAGAAGCTGAACATGTGCTTGCTTATCTGAAGGGATGAATTTTAGAGCTGAGAACAAAATTCCTCAGAATCAGCACAATCAATTAATGAACTTGCAAATTGAAATTATCTTCGCTGCTGCCCAGGAACGAGCGGTAATCAGTGTCTGGGGACACGTGGGGAGCCATGTTGCTGGTCACTGTGCCAAGAGTCTATTCATTTGTCATCGGTCACAAATTACAGTCAATCAGCAATTCAAACTCAGGCTGGAAAAACTGAGTGACATATAGTTACGCTCTGTGAAGTCAGTCCTGTAAAATAAAACCTGCAGCCCTGGTACTTGAACGGTGAGCTCAGTCGGATGGAGCTGTGAAACCGTTGAATGGAGACGCTGTCTGGTCTGTCCTGCTCCCGCCCCTTCTCACCCTTGCTGTCTTGCTCAGATGCCACCTGCTGCCACACTGTGTCCCCGAGGCCCCTGAGGCCGGTGTCTGAGTGCACGGGGCTCCTTTTCTGGTACTGGACGGAGCCGCTGTGGGGTTCTCTGTGCAGGGCCCTCAAACCTTGTCCATTGCTCTCCCTGAACTCACGTGCAGGAGACCCTGGTGCTGGGACTGGGTCTGTAGAAGCTCGGCCTCAGTTGTGTTTCTTCCTATTGGGGTCTGTCTGTCCTTTGGTTTCGCAGTCTGGACTGTGTGTTCTGTAAGATCCCCGCCATCCTGTCTCGACTTCCGCCCCCTTCCAAGACACTCTGCTGTCTTTGGCTCAGGATGAAGGAGAACTGTGCCATTGGGGTGAAGAGGGGACCTGGCTTTTGTCTGTTTTCTTGCCTACCTGTTCCTAGGACAGGGAACCAGGCAGGCCAGGGAGCTGCATGAAACAAACAGCCCCTTTGTCTCTGCTGTGGGCAGAGGTGAACAGACTGAATGTCACCTTTGGAAGGTCTCCGTGGGTAAACAGCTTGTTCCTGGCCAGGCCCAGTCAGTGACAGGATGTCTGGCTTCTGTGGCCACTTGGCAGATGGTCACATCTGTCAATAAGGAAGTGTAGAAAGCCTGCTTATCTCTATGAACGGGTGAAGTGGAGGTGAGCTAGGGAAAGGTCTGGTTTCACAGACCCGAGCCCAAGGCAGCCCGGGCCAAGCGGGAGGGGTGGGATGCGTGGGGTTGGATGGGTCGGGATTTGAGTTCCAATCTGGCCGCTTACTGAAGTTCACCTTAGGCTCCAACTCACACCTGTTTCTAGTGCCGGCCTAGAGTGCGGCGTGTTGGAAAGACTCCAGCAGATGCCAGGCCTAACGTGGAGCACGACTGCGCTGAGCTGCAGGGGAGGGACGGTGGCCTGGGCCCCGGGTGAGCGTGTGTGCGTGTGTGTGCACATGTGTGTGCTTATGACATAGCCTAAGGGAGGTTAGTATAACCCTATTAAAATCAGTTAGGGTGATGTCATGGTTTACATTTCCAAAAACAACAGAAACATCATTTGACCATTACAGTCTACTGCTGCAAAGATTCTAAGTCTTCGTAGTGTACTTAAGTCTTTTAGAGTATTGATTTGCATGTTTGCTTTAATTTATGGTGATTTTGAAAATTATCTTTTAAGTTTTGTTACCACGCAGGACCCTCTGTGGTCAAATACTTAGCTTTCTTTCGTGTTGACTTCAAGTGCCCATGTCAAGAGGTGAATTTGTCTCTTCCTAGAACTGCGACCCATTTGCAACACGGTCGGTGAAATCAGCAGCAAAGACAACGTTGTTCATATTTTCCGTGGGACACCTAAGAGATGTGTTAGTCTAAGACTGGTGTTCTAAGGAGAAAACTGATGCATGATAACAGTCGTATCTGTGTTGTTCTGTCACTGATGTAATATTTAATTCTGATCTTCAGGCCAGAGTTGGAAAGTCAGAGTCCCCCATCTGGCCCATAGCTTGTCCATCGGGAAGGCTTCCAAGGTGCAGCCCCGCTCCTGGTCCCTGGGTAGCAGGCCAGGTTAATAAGCCGTGGGGCTGCAGACTGTAAGGCTTGGAACGGCCCTATGCTGCTGTGCTCACCATCACCCTGTGTCTCTCCTTTCAGAAACCGAGCTGTCAGTCACTGCGGAGTTAGTGCCTACCTCACCGTGGAACATTTCAAGTGATCTCGACAAAGGTACAAAGCAGGGAGGCGGGAGGCGGGCAGAGGGAGGCGCGGCACCCTGAGTGCACCCTGGCGTGGCCATCTTCGCAGTCGCGGTGGTTCACAGCACTAGGAGGAAATGGTGGCCAAAATAAATGCCCAGCTTACTTTGAGATCATTTAACATTTCATTACTTGGAATTCTCTAATTTCTGAAAAGGTTTTTTTTATTCTTCCTTTCCCTTCTTCTTCTAAAATGTTCCACATGGTAAAAATACTTCAAGATGTGAAATAGGGTTGTTTCTGACCTCCCCGGCTGCGTCTAATGGATCTCACTTAGGGGATTTGACCCAGCTCGAGCCAGGGCTGGTCAGGCCGTGTGGCGACCTTTCCTGAGGAGCGTCTGACGTGCTCGCCGGTTTCGGACAGAGCACCTGAAGTTCCGTGGCTGCCTGTGCTAATGGAGGCCGGCTTCGCACAGCTCGGGGGCGCGGGTTCCTGCTCCGAAGCTGGGGCTTAGCATTCACTAAGCCCCGGCATGTGCCAAGCACCGGCCCTCTCCGCAGAGATCCCTTGTCCCCCACCCTCACTCGGGATGCCAAAAAACCTGTTTGCCAGCCTTGTTTCTTCCTAGTCCTCTCTGTGCCCAGTCTGTGTCTCCAGCCGGACTTCCGGATTGCCCTTCTCTGCGGGGACCGGGCCTCCACCTTCTGAAGTCAGCACAGTATCTGTCCTTCACGGCTGAGCACAAACATTATATGTCACGAATATACACTACAAATAATATTAGCAGTAATGATGAAGATGGAGAAAGGGGATCCAGAGTCAGAGGGAGGTGGGTGGGATGCAAAGGGGAATAAAAAAGAATCGAGTTATGTTACCTGCCCTCCGTGAATGTAGACTTCATGTATTGCAAATATGTACTAATAAAATTAAACTTTTCTAAAAGGCAGCGTAACTCCTACACTTACCACGGGCGTGCCCTCCCTCAGCAGCGAGTGGCCCATCCTCTCTGCAACCCATGGTCCTTTTAGCTGCTCTTCCCTTGCATTCTCTGGATCACATCGTCTACCTCTCCCACCAGCCAGCAGTGCCTTGTTGGTAGAGTTTTCTTCTGGTTTTCTTTCCTTCCTTTTTTGGTCTGTATCACAGAACCTCACACAGACTCCAGTTGTGTGGGGTGACGAAGCCCTCCTGCCTGGCCCAGGCTCCATTTGGAGTTCTGAATCCGATGGCGAAGGAGCCCCAGGCCACTGCTGTCTGCGGCCGGCTGTCTTGTCTGCTCAGATTCACCGGGAGCGGAGTCCTCTCTGAGGAAAGATCCCTTTATTTTATGAAACACCAGCGTGCACAGTTATTTTGCTGGTTACGCTCGATTATGCAGGATGAAGGGATTTCACCTTAAATCAAAGAACATTTGTTGTAATTGTTTCTTTTGTCAAATTTGATCAGAATGTTCTTTTGCTAATGAAGGATTAACACTGGGGTTTATTCCTGTACAATGCCCGGAAGGCAGTAGATTTTCAGCATGTATTTATTGAATTTTTTTAATGGAGAAGAGGAAATAAATAAGTTAAGTAAGTGTTTGTTCTGTGTCAGGCCTGGTGTGAGGCGCTGTCCATATGTGAATGTAACAAAACTTATGGCACGCACAGAAAACCCTGTCTCTGCGGACGGGGCATTGCTGATCTCGCTCCCGATATGGATATGGAAGGGCATATGCCATGAGGTCAGCAAAGCTGCCAGGCAGGACTCAGGCTGCCACCCTCGGACCAGTGGTCCTAATGAGCAGCGGCTGCCCTTCAGAAAGGAGGCAGTGTCCACAGTAGTGAGTGGCTGGCAGAGGGCAGAATAAAGATGGCCCCAGATGGCTTTCTTTTTCGGCATGGCTTTTCAGAGCACCCGGGGGACTGCAGGGACTCTTTGCATCATCAATTGCTAGGAGATTATTAAAATTTAGAAGAGACAAAGCTGCTTAATTCACTTACTCATTCACTGAGCAAATCCTTCTTGATTCCTCCTCTGATCTGAGTAGAGTTTGAAGAATTAGGATCTACAGATTCATCTTAAGAAGCTTCCTGTCCTCCATGAACTCAGAACCTCCTTGGGAAGCCTGACATCCAAGTGCATGATCAAAGCCTTTCGGTCACTTTGAGAGGCGGAGCTTTTGGGGAACATCTTCCCCAGCCACAGAAGGATGTTAGTGGCAATAAACAACAACATGCACTGTCAGGCTGGTACACAGGAAGAGAAGCCCGGGGTTCTTGGGGTTAAGAACAAGCTCAGTGCTCCAGCTGTGACCAGGGAGGTGGGGCTTTCAGCAAAAGGTCCTGTGTAAACGTGACAAGCCTGGGGCTTCCAAGAGACTGCGGTGTTGGGTGCCACAGAGGACGTCGTGTGCCAGGCAGTGAGGAGAGCCCAGCCTGAGGGTGAAGTAAGAGAAACTGCTGAGGCCATGGGATGAAAGTCTACCACTGGGATCGTGCGTGAGAAATCCAAGCTCCAGCCTGCACAGCACATGGGTGTGGGCTCAGGACTGTTGTCAGGTGCCTTGCCAACCACAAGCCAAAAAGATAACACAAAAACTCAGTTAAACTCTCAGACCCCAACAGTGACAAACCAGCTCATAAAAACGTCTCAGCATTCTAGTGGGTGAGGATCTGTCTCCCACCAAAAATGAAATGTAAAAAGATCAAAACTAACAGAAATGGAAAACTCCTGCCAATGTTGAGTTTACTTTTAAAATTTATAGTGAACGAAGGGGTGGGGAGGCACCATTAGCAAGAGTCAGCTGACAGCAGATGGAGGAGTTTGTACTGTAGGGACCAAAGGCAGTAGGTCAGTTTGAGAGACTTCAGATGTGTAAAATGTTTTAAGGTGATAGATTTGAATAGAACTGAAAAATAATTGTGGAAATTAAAAACTCATCAGATGAGTTAAACAGTAGATGAAATCAGCTGAAGAGAAAAACTGTGAACAGAAAGAAAGAGTGAGACAATACGGTGGTTTAGAGAACTGGCTCAGGTCAAACATCCTGACTCCACTACTTGTTTCCTCTGTGACTTCCAGCATTTCCTGTATGACTTCTGGCAAGTCACCCAACCAATCTGTGCTTCGTGCTTCTCATTTGTAAGATGGGATAATGAAAGTACTACCTCATCTGGTTGTTGTGAAAACTCCTCTGGCCAGCAAATCTGATAAGCTAATTGGAGAACAGCAAGTGACACCTTCTCAGCTGGGCAAACGGAGTCTTCCCTAGTGCAGCCCTTGCCTGCTCCTCTTAGCTCAACCCTTGTCCTTATCCTTTATGCTCTATTTGTTTCAACCACCTGCCTCTGTTTCCCAAAACATAGCATTTCTTTCCAGTCTTTGTGCTTTGCTTGTGCCGGTTCCCCTGCCTGCCTTGTCCTTCAACCCCTTCTTCGTTTGACCAGCTCTTTCTCTGCTTACCCATCACTTTTAACAGTGACACTAATGAACACAGTGCTGCAGGACACAGGCAGCCTTCTCATGTTTGTGGACAGCCTTGAGGGACAAATAAACTTTAAACAAATTCTCTCATCCACCCCACTGACCAGAGTGCTGAAAATGTGAGGGCCATAATACTCCATGTCTATCTTGATCAGGATCCTTATCACATGGTCTGGGAGTTATCTAGTCTATGACTGCTTCTGTAAAGTCCAAGTCTCTCTTACCTACTGCTGTGTTTTTACTGCCCCACGCAATGCCTGGTATGTGGTAGGCAACGTGGCATTCAGTCGTTTCAGTGCAAATCCACGCCATGCTGGTTCGTAGCAGCGGTGTGCGACTGACTGTTGGGTACTAGACACTTGCTAAGCATGTTGTATGCATTATTTGAATGTACAGCAATAAACAACTGAGACTCATGGGTTTATAGGACTTGGCTGAAGGGTCACAGGCATGATCGGCAGTGCCAAGATTCTGACCATAGCCTTCAGGCCAAGTCCAAGGATCCATGTGTGACACACGGCTGAATGTGTTGTCTCCCTTGCAGCCAGTGTGGTGCTTCATCCTCACTGAGTCAACTTGATTGGCTTGAGAGCTGCCTGGGATGAGGAAGGCACACTTTTGACTATGTCTGGGTGGGTCACAGAGGTGTGACTTTGTGTGCTACATATGGTCCCTAGACGCCTCCTTTCCGGTACTCTTCCTTGCTCTGCTTCTCTACCACCAGGAAGTGAGCAGCTCTGCTCTGTCATGTCCTTCTGCCATGATGTTCCATGATGGAGACAGCTGACCATGGACTGACGTCCTGGGAACCATGAGCCAAATTAAAGCTCTCCTCCTTCAGGTTGTGGGGATTTTTTCCTAGTACCAGGAAAGATGACTAATACAGAGAGGAAGTAAAATAAAATCCGATGCTTAGTATGCTTTCATGCCTTGCTCTTCATCCAGCTGCTCTGTTCTACCAATCCATCCCACCTCGGTCTCCAGGCTCACTGCAGTCCTGGTTTTCTGTTCAGTCAGTTACCTGCCTATCCTTTCCAACAGGAAATGAAATGTAAGAGACAAGGCACCCTGAGAAGAGCCCTCAAAAGCTGCAAATGATGGGTCAAGGGAGTAATCTCCTAAACAAATGCTTCCGCAACAAGTACCGCCTGGAATGCATTGATTATCGGGGGCCCAGGCTTGGCTTCACTCTGGGGTGCTGGGGTGGAACAAGGACCTCTTTCTCTTCTCCCATGTTCAGTCACAGGAGATCTCTACAGGAAGCCAGATGTTTCTTTTGGAGAAAGGACTGAATATTGGGCCTGGTGGTAGAAGAAAGGGAGGGAGCCTAGGACTTAAACTACTACTGAGGTCTGCTTTCAACCAGTAGTTCTCTGTTTTGCTAATCTAGGTTTGGGAGTATTTTTGTCCTGGTTTAATTTTTGGTTTTTACATAAAGAACTGCCCTTCTTGACCAGCTTTGAGATGTATGCATGGTAGGGGTGGGATGTGTGTAGCTCCTATGTAGGCCCTGTGGAGTATGGTGTTTGCGTCTTTGCATAGGGTGTCCTCCTCACTGAAGAG